ATCAATAGAATGAAAAATTAAAATCACACAATTATCTCGATAAACACCAGAAAAGCATTTGACAAAATCCAGTAACTTTTCATGATAAAGCCACATGACAGTGAAGGAATATGAGGAAACTTCCTCAACCTGGTAAAGGCCACCGTCAAAAAACATAGCTAACACCATACATAATGGTGAAAGACTAGATGCCCTACCCCTAAGATCAGGAACAAGATAAAAATGCTTTTTTCAGCACTTTTGTTCAACATTCTACTGGAGGTTCAAATTAGGACAATATAGGCAAGAAACAGAATACATCCAGATTGGAAAAGAAGAAGTAAAACTATATCCAAAGAAGGGCACCCGGGGGGCTCAGTCCATTAAGCATTGGACTTCAGCTCAGGTCATGATCTTGTAGTTCGTGAGTTTGAGCCCGGCATCGGGCTCTGTGCTGACAGCTCAGAGCCTGGAGCTTACTTCAGATTCTGTGTCTCCCTCTCTCTCTTCCCCTTCCCAACTCACACTCTGTTTTTCTATCTCAAAAATAAACATTAAAAATAAATTTAAAAACAATAAATAAATAAAAACTATGTCCAAACACAGGTGGCATGATACTGTATAAAAGAAATCCTAGGGAATACACTAAAAAATTATTAAAACTAAAAAAAAATTAATTCAGCAAGTTTTCAGAATATAAGGACAATATACAAAAATCAATAGTATTTCTATGAACCAGCAATGAATAATCTCAATACAAAAATAAGAAAAACATAATTTTTACAATAGCATCAAAATGAATAAAATACTTAGGAACAAACTCAACAAAAGAAGTGCAAAACTCATAGGGCACCTGGGTGGCTCAGTCATTTAAGCATCTAACTTCAGCTCAGGTCATGATCTCACCATTAGTGAGTTCGAGCCCCTTGTAGGGCTCTCTGCTGATCTGCTTCAGATCCTGTATCTCCCTCTCTCTATGCCCTTCCCCCACTCATGCTCTGTCTCTCTCAAAAATAAACATTAATTAAAAAAAAAAAAAAGAAGTGCAAAATTCATACTTTGAAATTTACAAAACACTGTTGAAGGAAATTAAAGAAAATCTAAGCAAATGGAAAAAACATCCATGAGCGTGGGTTGGAAGACTTAATATGGCAATACTCCTCAAACTGATCTACAGATTCAACAGAATGCCTATGAGAAATTCAATCTGACTTATTTGTAGAAATTCACAGGCTGATTGTAAAAATTTATATGTAATTACACAGGATCCAGGATAGACAAAACAATCTTGAAAAAGAGTAACAAAGTAGGAGTACTTATATTTCCTGATTTTAAACTTACTACAAGTCATTGGTAATCAAAACTGTGTGGTACTCACAAAAGTATAAACATATAAATGAATGGAATAGAACTCAGTCAAGAAATAAAATCATATGTCTATGGCCAACTTAGTTTTTGACAAGGGTGCCAAAACCATTTAATAGGGAGTATTTCAACAGATGGAGGTGGAATTACTGAAGAGCTATGTGTAAAAGATTGAAGCTGGACCTTTGCCCCAGGATATACAAAAATTAACTCAAAATAGATCAAAGGCATAATTGTAAAACTATAAAACTCAAAAAAAAAAAAAGCAAAGGATATGTTCCCTTGGATTTGAAAAAGATTCTCAGATATGACATCACAAGCACAAGCGACAAAAGAAAAATAGATACCTGAATTTCAGCAAAATCAGAAATGTTTGTGCTTCCAAGGATACCACTGAGAAAGTGAAAAGCCAACCCACAAAATGGAGACAAAATAAACCACGTATCTGATAACAGACTTGTATCCAAAGTATACAAAGAACTTTTACAACTCAGTACTAGAGAGACACATAAGCCATTTTTTTAAAAAGAGGTGAAATATTTAAATGAACGTTTTTCCAAGGAAGATATCGAAGTGGGCACCAACCACATAAAAAGATATTCAACACCATTAGTCATCACAGAAATGTAAATTAAAACCACGGCATATCACTTTGTACCTACTAGGACATTAGAATCAAAAGCCAGATAATAACAAATGTTGACAAGAACGTGAAAAAAATCCGAACTTTCCTAGACTGCTGGTAAGAATGTAAAATGGTGCAGCCACTTTTGAATAGCAATTTCTCAAACATTTAAACATAGAGTTTAAATAAGTTACCATATGATCTACTAATTCCACTTCTTATATATACCCAAAAGAACTAAAAGTAGGCATTCAAATAAATAGTTGTACACAAATAATTAAGCAACACTGTTTACAATAGGCAAGAGGTGGAAATAACCCACATGTCCAACTGATGAATGGATAAATAAAATATGGTATATCCATACAATGGAAATATTATTCAACCATAATAATTAATAGATTATTGATACATGCTCCAGCATGAATAAACCTTGAACACATCATGCTAAGTAAAAGAAGCCAGTAACAGAAGACTAAATGTTAATTATTCCATTTATATAAAATATCCAGAATTAACAAATCAATAGAGATAAAAAGCAGATTAGTGGGTGTCTATGGATGGGCAGGATCGAACTTTGGCTCAGGTCATGATGCTCCAGTTTGTGAGTTCGAGCCCTGCATCAGGCTCTCTGCTGTCAGTGCAGCAGACAGATCCTCTGTTTCCCTCTCTCTCTGCCCCTACCCCACTCTCATGCATGCTTGCTCTCTCTCTCTCTGTCCCTCTCAAAAATAAACATTAAAAAAAAACAGTATTCTAGTTTGAAAACAAAAGTTATTGACTCCCAACATAAAATAATTAAAAGTCTACAAAATAAATGTGATGTTTATTTCATTGATCATTAAATTTAATATTAGTAACAATTTAAGTTACCCAGTACAATTTGTAGATTAGATTGTCTCATTTCAAAATAATTCTCTAGTAAGCATTATTATTCTTTAGAAATCAGAACCAAACACAAATAATTTAAACAACAAAACTATAAAAAGCATTTACATCTTGTTCACTGTGCAGAAATTCTACTTAATGAGATGTGGGTACACTTATGAGTTCTTCGTAAGATATAAAACACAATTTTCAAGAGCTAAGTGTTGCTGCACACTAACAAACTCTTAAAATGTCCCTGCTTTTACATGTCTTTCCCCACAGGCACATGCCCAGACATTGTGTTTGTCAGTAAAAAAGCCTTACTATTGCAATGTCATTCCTCTTGACTCAACACATTTTCCTTTCCAGGGACTCTTGGCCCCAGCTTTCTCCTCAGGTTTTGATCATTAATTCTTTTTTGTCATCTTTCAGCACACCAAGGCTTATGCTTTCAAGTAAGAAATATGGAAAATGTGAACTGATAAACCTATAACATGGACTGAACAGATAAAGCACTATAATATGGATTAGCTCATTTTCATGCAAATGTCTTTATTAAGAGAAAATGTCTTTGTATCAAGAAAGAAGGGTTAAAAGTGCTAATCTATAAATACCTGAAGTGAAATTCGTACAGTACATAAAATTATTCCTCTTGAAATAAAATTATAGCTATTAAGTATTTTAAATGTGGCCAATCATCAAGATAGAAAGCTTAGAGACACTTTGGAGATAGATTATCCTAGGTTTGGATCTCTTGTCTTTCATTTACTGGTTGGATGATCTTGAGTCAGTTGCCCAAATTCAGTTCTCTTATTTTTATAAAAGAGAGTAATAAATTATTCATACATCATAACATTATAAGGAAAAAAAAAAGGACTATGCCTAGCAAAAATAGGTATTCAAAAATTTTTCCTATCTTAATATTCTATAAAATAGTGATATCCATAATGGCACCACTGGCCATTCAAGAAATGTTGATTCCTAACAGGAATGCTTGATTCCTAACAGCTAAAAAGATTGATTCTGTTTGTTCTAAATACACACAGGTAGATCAGACACTCGGTAGACGACAAATACATCTTCTCCCTACTGCTTCATACTCCTTAACCTTTTATAATATCTGATAAAATAGTTCCCAAAGAGCTTCCTGTGAAAACTGAGGAGTATAGACTCCAGAACAGGGCAATCACTGGAGCACATGTGATAATTAATAGGCAACAGGCACTCAAGTTTCCCGACAGTAAAATAATTGGTCATCCCTCCCTCTCTGGTGTAGCACTGCATCTACAGATTATCTTACATCATAGGGATGTCATGAAGAACTAAAGACCTAATAGAAACTCATAAGATGATTACAGGCACCAAATGCCTACTGAATTAATGAAAGATAAATAAAGCATAAAAGAAGTAAAGGAAGGGAAGGAACGAAGGAAAGACAAAGTTATCCTCAACTGTAGAATAAAGAAAAAGCAACTTGAGTAAGGTCAAGAAAACATGTTAAATAGAATACTTGAGAGAAGCCTTCTAAATGTTTCTAAATATCTGACGTGATTTTATTTCTTTCAACTTGCATTTCTTTATATTTTTCACTTTCCTTCACAAATCAATTCTTGTGAAACTGTCCTGTACCTATAATGGAAGGGCACACACATAGTGATAGAGATTTTCTAATGAACTATGGCTCAGAAGATAGATTCTGACCTTTTCATACACCTTCCCTGGATCCTTTCAAAGTTAAGCTTAAAAGAACTGGAGTCAGTAAGAGTTGGGGATTGATTTAGTTAAGTCAATTTCTAAAGCGGTCTAGAAATGAACCATATGGATGAGAACGGGATTTACTTGTTTTTGTTTATATTTTCTCTTTGGCAAAATAAGACTATATATTTCCTACTAGTGGAGGAAGGAAAGAGATCGTTTTGAAAGTGTCTTTATGGTCAAAATGATTTATGAAACAAATGGTGGTGTATCTTCAATTAATATAACAAAATCTAAACAAAGAGTTGAAAAACCACATAATATTTTTAAAATTTTTAAAATTGTGATTAAAACTTACATAACATAAAATTTACCATCTTGGAGAGTGTGGCCAGGTGGCTCAGACCAAGCAGGGTTTTCCTTACCAGCGGATTGAGTAGAACGCACTGCCAGTCTTGTAGTCCATTCGCCATGGCTTCTTCTGATATCCCCGTGAAAGAACTGGAGAAGTATGCCTCAGGCCAGGCTTTTAAGCTGATTCTCAGCCCTCAGTCAAATGAATCTGTCCCAGAATTCCCCCTTTCCCCTTCAAATAAGGATCTTTCCCTGGAGGAAATTCAGAAGAAATTAGAAGCTGCAGAAGAAAAACACAAGTCCCAAGAAGTCGAAGTCTTGAAGCAGCTTACCAAGGAACGAGAACATGAAAAAGTGCTTCAGAAAGCAACAGCAGAGAACAACTTTGGTAAAATGGCAGAAGAAAAGCTGACCCACAAAATGGATGCCAATAAACAGATCAAGAGGCACAAATGGCTGCCAAACTGGAGCATTTGCGAGAGAAGGGCAAGCACATGAAGAATGTGAAGTGTGCAAGAACAAGGACTCCAAAGATCCTGCTGATGAAACTGAAGCTGACTAATTTGTTCTGAGAACTGACTTTCTCCCCTTCCCTTTCCCAAATATCCAAAGACTGTACTGGCCAGTGTCATTTCATTTTTGCTGTCCTGACAAATATTCTAGAAGCTAATGTAGGACTATATAGGTAGATCTAGACTGTATGTTGTTGTTTTAGAGGCAAAAGGGGAAAGACTCTTCTCCTAAAGTGTTTCTCATGTAGCTATTTTTCTTGTTGTATCTTTTCTATTTCAGTACACTTGGCTGGGTTAATGGCTAGTACAGTACTGGCTCTGTAAAAAAAACATGTTTGTGAAAAGAGTATATAGTGGCTTCTTCCAAACTGTTAGATGTTACATCTGTTCACATTTAAATCCCAATTCTGTCCTGATCTTACCAGATGCTCCTGTACTTAACTGGCTAATAAAACTGCATAGTGCTATTGAAAAAAAAATTACCATCTTAACCATTTGAAAATTTACAGTTCAACAGTGTTAAGTATATTCATATTATTGTGAAACAGATATTTGGAACTTTTTCATCTTGCAAATCTGAAACTCTATAATCATTAAACAACTTCTATTTCCCCCACCCCAACCCCTGATAACCACCATTGTGCTTTCTATAAATTTTATTATTTTAGATACCTCATATAAAAGGAACCATATGGTATCTGTCTTTTTGTGACTGGCTCATTTCACTTGACATAATGTCTTTAAGGTCCAATCATGCTGTAGCATGTGAAAAAATGTAAAAAGGATCCCCCTCCTTTTTAAGGGTGAATAATATTCCATTGTATGTATATATCACCTCTTGTTGATCCACTCACCTACTGATAAACATTTGGGTTGCTTCCACTCTTAGGTATTGTGAATAGTGCTACCATGAACATGGATGTGCAAATATCTCTGAGTCCCTGTTTTCAATTCTTTTGGATATATCCCCCAAAGAAGGATTATTGGACCATATGGTACTTCTATTTTTAAACTTTTGAGGAACTACCATACTGTTTTCCATAGCAATTGCATCATTTTACAATCCCACCAACAGTGTACAAGGTTCCAATTTCTCCACACACTCACCAACACTTATTATTCTCTGTCTTGTTTTTAAATGTTTATTTATTTATATTGAGGGTGGGGGGAGAAAGAGAATCCCAAGTAGGCTCCACACAGCACAGAGTCTAATGCAGGACCTGATCCCACAAACTGTGATATTCTGACCTGAGCCAAAATCAAGAGTTGGACGCTTAACTGAGCCACCCAGGCACCCTATCTGTGTTTTTATTTTTAATAGTAGACATGCTAATGGTTGTGAGGTAATATCTCATTGTGGTTCTGATTTTCATTTTTCAGATGATTACTAATGTTGAGCATCTTTTTGTATGCTTGTGGGCCATTTGTATATCTTCTTTGGATAAATGTCTATTCAAAGCCTTTTTTTAATTTTTAACTTTTAATTTTTAATCAGATTATTTGATTTTTTGTTGTTGAGTTGTAGCAGTTCTTTATTTATTCTGGGTATTAATCACTTATCAGATATAGCTTACAAATATCTTCTCCCATTCTGCAGCTTGCTATTTCATTCTGACTGAGCCACTTGATGCATAAAAGTTTTTCAGTTTAATGCAGTCCTATTTTTCCTTTTTTTGCTTGTGTTTTCTGTGCTTTTGATGTCGTATTCCAAGAAATCATTGCCAAGTTCAACATGATGAAGTTTTTGCTCTTTGTTTTCTCCTAGGAGTTTTATAGTTTTAGGTCTTGTCTTTATGTCATTAATCCAGTTTAATTTTTGAATACAGTAAAAGATAAGGGTCCAGTTTAATTCCTTTGCATATATATGCCCACTTTTACCAAAAATATTTGTGGAAGAGATTATCTTTTCATATTGAATAGTCTTGGCACCCTTGTCAAAGAACATTTGGCTATATATGTGATAGTTTATTTTGGGGCTCTCTACTTTATTCCACTAATCTATTTGTCTGTCTTTATACTAATGCCACACTGTTTTGATTACTGTGACTTTGTGGTATGTTTTGAAGCCAAGAAGTGTGAGTCCTCCAACTTTGTTTTTTTATTACAAAATTGTTTTGAATATTCAAAGTCCCTTAAGAATCCATAAAAATTTTAGGATGAATTTTGCTATTTCTTCAAAAAGTGCTGTTGGAGGGGGACCTGGATAGCTCAGTTGGTTAAGCATCTGACTCTGGATTTCGGCTCAGGTAATGATCTCACGGTTTGTGAGTTCAAGCCCTGCATCTAGCTCTGCACTGACAGCGCAGAGCCTGCTTGGGATTCTCTCTCTCTCTGATCCTCCCCTGCTCATGCTCACTCTCTCTCTATTTCAAAATAAATGAACAACTTTAAAAAAAAAAGACTTTAAAAAATTCTGTTGGAATTTTGATAGAGACTGCATTGAACCTGTAGATTACTTTTGGTAGTATGGACATGTTAACAACATTAAGTCTTCCACTCTACAAAAACTTGAGGTGTATTTCCATTTATTTGTCTTCTCTTAAATTTCTTTTAGCAATGTTTTGTGGTTTTTACTGAATAAGTCTTCTACCTCCTTGGTTAAATTTATTCCTAAGTATTTTATTACATTTGATACTACTGTAAATATTGTTTTCTTATGTTACTCTTGTGGATAGTATATTGTTTCATCTGGTAGGTTTTTATAAATAATTTGCCATTATCTTCCCCCCTCTTTGCTAAGATTCTTTTCTATGGTAGGTGCATATAGTCATGAGGCAGAATGGATGTCAGGGTCTGTGTTCCTCTGATGTACACCCATTTCATTGTCAGCCTCTTCCCTGCTTCCAACCATGGTACCTTCAATACTTTAGGAGACCAGAATCAAAATGGAGAGTCAATGAGATGGGTGACAGAGGAGGCTCCTGAGCTTCCCTCCTCCCCACAGATATACCAAATATGCAGCTATACATGGAGCAATTTCCTGTGAAAAAATACAGAAACTAGTCGAGTTACTCCTACACACTGGGCAAATGAGAAAATAATACTGAAAGGAGCCTGGATGGCTCAATCAGTTAAGTGTGTCCGGCTTCGACTCAGGTCATGATCTCGTGGTCTGTGGATTTGAGCCCTGCATCAGGTTCTATGCTGACAGCTCAAAGCCTGGAGCCTGCTTCAGATTCTGTATGTGTGTGTGTATGTGTGTGTGTGTGTGTGTGTGTGTGTGTGTGTGTGTCTGTCCCTCCCACACTCATGCTCACTCTCTCTCTCTCTCTCATAATAATAAATAAACATTAAAAAAAGGAAATATATTGAAATGGGTAGGAAAGTCTGAGAGACACTTTTGCCATAAAACCCACACCTAGTACAGCACTATGCAATAAGAATGGAACACCCAACAGCCAACTTCTCCCTCTGGAGCAAAGGGGGTTGGGATCCTACCTCTAACACTCCAACTTTTAAGACTCCCACCTGTGAGACAGGCTCCCAAACACCTTGTTCTGAAAGCCAATAGGACTTTCATCCATGAGATTCACAAGACTGTATCAAACAGAAAAACAGTTCTTAACTGGCTATCCCCACCAAGGCTCAGCACAGTGAGAACAGACAAAAAATACCCATCTCCCATTCATTCCCTGAAAAGAGTTTATCTACACATATCAAAAGCTGCTTCCTAAAGGTCAGGCTTCTAATTTAGCAGGCATCCAGGGGCTCTGATCCTCCCTCAGAGACTAGGAAAGTTGGCAAACATTTCCCCCATCTACTCCCTCCACTCACTCCAAGTCACTAGTATTTCCCTGAAAGAAGCTTGTACATACATCTATACCCCATTTTTTTCCAGCCGCTGACCAAGGGATGGGTCTCTGGATTGCCTGGTTCTGACAGCCCATGGAGTTTCCATTCATGAGCCCCACAGGGATACAGCAAACAAAGAAGCAATTTTTTTTAATGTTATTTTTGAGAGAGAGAGAAAGAACACATGCATGCAGGGGAGGGGCAGAGAGAGAGGGAGACAGAGAATCTCAAGCAGGCTCCACACTGTCAGCACAGATCCTGACATGGGGCTAGAACTCAGGAACCCATGAGATCATGACCTGGGCCAAGATCAAGAGTTGAACGCTTAACTGAATGAGCTTCAAGGCACCCTCAAAGAAGCAATTCTTAATGGGCTATCACCCCAGAGCCCAACACAGAGAGAGCAGGAAAAAATACCCTTCTTCCAGTCTCTCTATGAGAGGGATTTATTTGCATACTTTAAAAGCTGCTGCCTGAGGGCCAGGTTTCTAATTTAGCATGCATCTAGTGGCTGGCAGCCATCATCTCCAGACACTGGGAAGACCAACAGATACCTCCCCTGTTTTCTCCCTCCAGCCTGCTCCAAGTCACCAGTATTTCCCTGGAAGAAGCTTGTACACATGTCTGCACTCCAACTTTTACAGCTGCCACTCAAAGGACAGATTTGCAAATCACCTGGTTCTCATAGCAGCCAGTCCCACAGGATTATAGGAAACAAAGAAGAGTTCTTACTCAGCTATCCCTCCAGGGCTCAATACAGAAGAAGCAGGTGAAAATGCTCCTCTCCAAGTCTTTCCTTGAAAAGGATCTAGCTTCTTAAAAACTAATGAATGAGCTGGGGGTGGGGGGGGCAGGGGAAGCGGGGGGATTGTTTTTTGTTTTTAATGTTTATTTATTGTTGAGAGAGACAGAGACAGAGACAGAGTGCAAGTGGGGAACGAACAGAGAGAGAGGGAGACACAGAATCTGAAGCAGGCTCCAGACTCTGAGCTGTCAGCACAGAGCCTGATTCAGGGCTCGAACCCAAGAACTGTGAGATTATGACCTGAGCCAAAGTCTGACGCTTAACCTACTGAGCCACCTAGTTGCCCCACAACTCAAGCTTCTAACTTTAATACATATCTAGGGCCTGACTATGACATAAGTACATACTTTCCCAGCTTCTGCCTGACGTTCCAGCTTCTAATCAATCTACATCTAGGTGCCAACTGTAATCCTCCCTTTTGGAACACTGACAAGACTTAACTACCAGGAGCCACTAAAACAAAACAGGCATCTTGGTCAATCACAGAAGTCCGAGAGAAAGCCAAGAGCTTGGCCGGGTTGATTAACAAGTTTGATCTCCTACATGAGATATTATGTCAAGAGGGAAAGAAGTGGCTATTTTATACAATATACAGAAACCAACAAAGTTAGGAAAATGAAGAAACAGAGAAATACTTAGCAAACAGTAGAATAAGATAAAACTCCAGAAAGGGACCTTAAATAAAATGAAAATAAGTAATTAATCTAATAAAGAGTTCAAAATACTGGTCATAAAGATGTTTCCTGAGGTCAGAAGAACAATTCAGTGAAAATTTTGACAAATAGATATAAAATATAAGAAAATATCAATCAGAAATCATAGAGCTGAAGAAAACAATAACTGACCTGAAATTTTCAATAGATGGACTCAAAAGCAGACTACATGAAGAAGGAAAAAAAAAGGATCAACAAAATTCAAAAGACAGGGTAGTGGAATTCAGCCAATTAGAGAAGTTAACAGAAAAATAAATGAAAAAGAATGAAAATAGCTTAAGAAATTCATGGGACACCATCAAATGGGCCAGTATTCATACTACAGGGATCACAGAAGAAGAGAGAGAAAAAGAGAGCATATTCAAAGAAATAATCGCTTTAAAACTTCCCTAACCTAAGGAAAGAAACAGACATCCAGATCAAAGAATCTCAGAGAGTAAAAAAAAAAAAAAGACAAATCCAAAGAGACTCACTCCAAGATGCATTACAATTAAACTGTTAGAATCTTAAAAGCATCAAGAGAAAAGCAAATTGCTATGAAGAGAGAACCCTCATAAAAGTATCAGCAGATTTTTCAGTAGAAACTTTGCAGGCCAAAAGAGAGTTGGATGATATAGCCAAAGTAATGGGGGGAAGAATACTGCCAACCAAGAATACCTTACCTGGCAAAGTAGTCCTGCAGAATTAAAAGAGAGATAAAGAGTTTCCCAGGCAGACAGAAGTTGGGAGAGTTTATCAAGACAGAAGAAGGCAGACAGAAGTTGGGAGAGTTGTTTTGTTCTCAAGCTAAAACAAAAGGGTGCTAAATAGTTACATAAAAACATATGAAAGGTTAAATTCAGTCATATAGGTAAATATATAGTTGAATGAAGAATGATATTGCAATGGTGGTAGGTAAACCACTATTACCACTAGTATAAAAGTTAAAGGATAAAAGTACTAAAAATAAATATAACTACAATAATTTATTAATGGATACGCAATGTAAATAAAGAGATATAAGTCATCAGGATGCCTGGGTAGTTCAGATGGTTAAGCATCTGACTCTTGATTTCGGCTCAGGTCATAATTTCATGGTTCGTGAGATTAAGCCCCATGTTGGGCTCTGTGCAGCATGAAGCCTGCTTCGGATTCTTTCTCCCTCTCTCTCTACCCCTCCCTTGCTCTCTCTCTCTCTCTCTCTCTCTCTCTCTCTCAAAAATGAATAAACATTTTTAAAAACCATATTTAAAAGATGTAAATTATGATATCAAAAACACAAGAAGCACCTGGATGGCTCAGTCAGGTGAGTGTCCAACTTCAGCTCAGGTCATGATCTCCTGATTCACAAGTTTAAGCCCCCCATCAGGCTCTGGGCTGACAGCTCAGAACCTGGAGCCTGCTTCATATTATGTGTCTCCCTCTCTCTCTGCCCCCTACTCTGCTTGTGCTCTGTCTCTCTCTCTCTCTCTCTCTCTCTCTCTCAAAAATAAATAAATATTAAAAAAATTTTGAATGTTGGGGGAAGCAAAAATGTAGAGCTTTTTTAGGCATTCAAAGTTAAATTGCTCCAAGCTAAAAACAGACTGTTATAATTTACGTAAGCCTTATGATAACCACAAAGCAAAAGCTATAGTGCATACACAAATAATAAATAGAAATAAATCAAAGCATAGCATGACAGAAAAAAGAAAGCAAGAGAGACAAAAAAGAACAAAGGATTTACAAAAGAACCAGAAAACAACAACATTGCAAGAGTAAGTCCATACCTATCAGTAATTACTTTAAATACAAACAAACTAAAATTCTCTAATCAAAATACATACAGTTGCTGAATGTATAAAAATAAGACCCACCTATGTTGCCTACAAAGAGACATATCAACTTTAAGGACACACACAGACTGAAACTTAAAGAACACAAAAAAATATTCCATGCAAATGGACACCAAAATAAAGAAGAGGGAGCTGTACTTATGGCAAACAAAACAGACTTAAGCCAAAGACTATAACAAGAAATAAACAAAGTCATCATATAATGATAAAAGAAGTCAATTCATCAAGAGGATATAACATTTCTGGCCAAGGTGGCAGAACACCATGGAAGTTCTGAACTTCTCTCATCCCTGAAATGCAGCTAGAACAGCACCAAACCATCTTGCACACCTAGAAAATTGACCTGAGGATTAACACAACAATCTGCGTAACTTGAGCCATAGAACTCAGGAGGTACTCAGTGCAGAGAGGTGAAATGGATGAGAGAAAAGCTACAGAGGGTAGGGAGCTGTTTTTGTGGAGAGAGGACAGATAAGGGGAGGGGGACAGTGCAGCACACTGGAGAGTGCAGGAAAAGCACTCTGCCCAAAGGAGCTGGAGAGAAAGAGTAAAAACACAAGGGACTACACAAGAAATCTATTCCCCAAAACCATTGATAAGGAGAAAGGAGAGGGTTTCAATACCATTAGGACTCTATAAACAGGAGAAAACAGAGTCTAAAATTCTGGAACTTAATACCTGGCAGTGCTCTGGTGGGGAGGAAGGGTGAATCTACAGGAGCAGGCAGCGAGGTCTGAGGGGTCTGTAGGTCACATGCGAAGAAGCAATTCCCCTGCTAGGAGGGCATTTGGTAGAGTCCATTTGGCCACCCCACAAACAAAGGTCCCAGGGGACCCCAGAGAGCAGCCATGTTTGCTGGTATTGGAACAAAGACACCAGGGTGTGGTGACACCTGGTGCCAGTTGTGTGTTGTGATTTTCCATAACCCATGAACTACTGCCTCTGAGCAATCGCACACACTTTTTCTGAGGTGCCAGCACATAGCCACAATCTCTGAACCTCTGCCACAGAGAGATTGCAGGAACATGTCTGGGACAACCCAGCACCCTGCCATTGCTCAGGAAGACCCTCCCCCAGAGGGTTGGCACAGCTCCAAGCCACAGGGCTTTCAGAAGTGAAAAGTTTGGAAACACAGCCCCGAATGAGATAAAGTTGGGAGGGAGGAGTTGCCTGGCAGGCTGACAGCTTGGACGCAGACAGTGTACAAGCAGGGAGTGAACAAAAGCCAGAGACAAAAGAGGAGTGCTTAACTGCCAGTAGGTGAGAGTGCAGAGTTCCTGTGCCAGAGACTAGGAAGCTAGGTGATGCCATTTTCACCTCACCCACGCTTTCACATACATGTGTACACACGCCTCACCAATCCACCCCAGTAAGCCAATCAGCAACAGCTAGTAGAGAACAGAGCCTGTACACCAAGCCCCGTCCAACTGCACACAGCAAGTTCATACCCTAGAGGACCACCACAAGTCTCTCCACCTGCTTAGTGTACAGGCTATAAAGTACTTCACAGTTTGACTTCTAGGGGAAACTGGATGTACTTTCATTTGGGTTTCATTCTGTTTGCTGGTCCACCTAATCATTTTTCTTTTCTTTTTTTTTTTTTTTTTTTTTTGCTTTTGCTTAAATTGTTATTTCTTTACTTTCTTTCCATTTTCATGGATACTAAAAGAGAAAAAATTATTTTTATGTCCTTTTTTAAATTTTTTTATCTTTCTGCTATATTTTTTCATTTTTTGTATATTTTTTATTCTATTTCACTTTCTTCATTTCATTTTATTCTATTTTATTATGCTTTTTTTAAATTTTTAAACTTTTTCCTACTTTCTTTTTCTCTTTTTTCTTTACCTTTTTTCTCTATGCTACCATGCTTCTTTCAACAACCAGACCAAAACACACCTAGACTCTAACTTCCTTTATTTAATTTTTTAAATTTTATTATTGTTTTCTTCCTCCAAAATGATAAAATGAAAGAATTTACCCCAAAAGAAAGAACAGGAAGAAATGATAACCAGGGGCCTAATCAACACAGATATAAGCAAGATCTCTGAACTAGAATTTATAATCACAGTAATAAGAATACTAGCAGGGGTGGGGAAAAAAAGCATAGAATCCCATTCTGTGGAGACAAAAGAAGTAAAAGCTTGTCAGGACAAAACTTAAAATGCTCTAACTGAGATGCAATCTCAAATGGATGCCACAGCAGAAAGGATGGATGAAGCAGAGAAGTGAACCAGCAATACAGAAGACAAAATTATGGAGAATAATGAATCCAAAAAAAAAAAGAGAGAAAGAGAATTAAAGAGTATGATATAAGAATTAGAGAACTCAGCAACTTATTAAAAAGGAATGATATTTGAATGATAGGAGTCCTGGAAGATGAAAAGAGAGAAAAAGGAGTAGAAGGTTTAGATGAGCAAATTATAGCAGAAAACTTTCCTAATCTGGGGAAAGACACAGACACCAAAATCCAAGAAGTACAGAGAACTCCCATCATATTCAACAAAAACTGACCATCAACAAAACATATCATAGTCAAATTCACAAAATACACAGACAAGGAAAGAATTATAAAAGCAGTAAAGGAAAAAAAGTACTAAACCTATAAGGGAAGACAGATCAAGTTCATAGCAGATCTATCCACAGAAACTTGGCAGGTGAAAAAGGAGTGGCAGGATATATTCAATGTGCTGAATTGGAAAGATATGCAGCCAAAAATTCTTTATCCAGCAAGGCTGTCATTAAAAATAGGAGAGATAAAGAGTTTCCCAGACAAACAAAAACAAAGGAGTTCAATGACCACTAAACCAATCCAGCAAGTAATTATAAGAGGGACTCTCAAAGGGGAGAAAAGATGAAACAAACAAAACGAAAACCAAAAACAACAAAGTCTGGAAGGGACCAGAGAACAGCACCAGAAATTCCAACTCTACAGGCAGCACAATGGCAAATTCATAACTTTCAGCACTCACTCTAAATGTCAACAGACTAAACGCTCCAATCAAAAGACACAGGGTATCAAAATGGATAAGAAAACAAGATCCATCTATATGCTGTTTACAAGAGACCCATTTTAGACCTAAAGATACCTTCAGATTAAAAGTAGGAGGATGGAGAACCATCTATCATGCTAATGATCACCAAAAGGCAGCTAGAGCAGCCATACTTGTATCAGACACTACATTTTATTTATTTTTAATTTTTTATATTTATTTTTGAGAGTGAGAGAGAGAGACAGAGGATGAGAGAGGAAGGGGTAGAGACAGAGGGAGACACAGAATGTGAAGCAGGCTCCAGGCTCTGAACTATCAACACAGAAAACGATATGGGGTCCAAACTCATGAACCATGATCATGACCTGAGCCAAAGTCAGATACTTAACCAACTGAGCAACTCAAGTGACCCCAATTTTTTAAAATAAAGACTGCAACAAGAGATGAAGAAGGACATTATATCTTAAATAAAGGTCAAGCCACCAAGAAGAGCTAACGATTGTAAACATTTATGCCCCCACATGAAACACCCAAATATACAAATCAATTAATCATGAACATAAAGAAACTCATTGATAATAATACCATAATAGTAGGGGACTTCAACACCACCAATGGACAGATCATCTAAGCAGAAAATCAACAAGGAAACAATGGTTTTGAATGACACACTGGACCAGATGAACTTCACAGATATATTCAGAACATTTCATCCTAAAGTAGCAGAATACACATTCTCTTTGAGTGTACATGAAACATTCTCCAGAATAGATCACATACCGGGACACAAATTAGCCCTCAACAAGTACAAAAAGATCAACATCATGCCGTGTATATTTTCAGACACAACGTTATGAAACTCCAAATCAACACAAGAGCAAATATGAAAAGACCAAGAATACCTGGAGATTAAGAACATCCTACTAAAGAATGAATGGTTTAACCAAGAAATTAAAGAGGAAAATAAAAAGGACATGGAAGCCAATGAAAATGATAACACGACAGCCCAAAACCTCTGTGATGAAGCAAAGGCACTCATAAGAGGGAAGTATATAGCAATTCAGGCCTTCCTAAAGAAGGAAGAAAGGTCTCTGATACACAACCTAATCTTACACCTTAAAGAGCTGGAGAAAAAGAACAGCAAATGAATCCTAATACCAGAAGAAGACACGAAATTATAAAGCTTAGAGCAGAAATCAATGCTATCCAAAAAAAATTGAATTAGTAATCAAAAAATCTTTCAAAAAAACCAGAGTCCAGGGCTGGATGGCTTCCTAAGGGAATTCTACAAAACATTTAAAGAAGAGTAAACACGTACTCTGTTGAAGGTGTTCCAAAAAATAGAAATGTAAGGAAAACTTCCAAACTCATTCTATGAGGCCAGCATTACCTTGATTCCAAAAACAAAGACCCCAGTAAAAAGGAGCACTACAGTCCAATTTCCCTGATGAACATGGAGGCAAAAATTCTCAACAAGACACTAGCCAACCACATCCAACAATACATTAAAAGAATTATTCAGTGCAATCAAGTGGGATTTATACCTGGGATGCAGGGCTGATTCAATATCAGCAAATCAATCACTGTGATATATCACATTAATAAAAAAAAGAATAAGGGGCACCTGGGTGGCTCAGCTGGTTAAGCGTCTGACTCTGCTTTCAGCTCAGGTCATGATCTCACGGTTTCATGAGTTCAGGCCCCACATGGGGATCTGTGTTGGCAGCAATGAGCCTGCTTGAGATTCTCTCCCTCCCTCTCTCTTTCTGCCCCTCCCCCATTCATGCTGTCTCTGCCTCTCTCAAAATAAATAAACAAACTTAAGAAAAAAAGAATAAGATACACATGATCCTCTCAATAGATGCAGAGAAAGCATGTAACAAAACACAGCATTCTTTCTTGATAAAAACACCCAAGAAATTAGGGATGGAAGGATCATACCTCAAGATTATTAAAGCCATATACTAAAGACGGTATATCATCTGTCTTATGATGACGGTATATCATCATATAAAGACGCTAATATCATCCTCAATGGGGAAAAACTGAGAGCTTTCCTGCTAAGGTCAGGAACAGGGCAAGGATGTCCACTATCACCACTGTTATTCAACAAAGTGTTGGAAGTCCTAGCCTCAGCAATCAGATAACCCAAAGAAATAAAAGGCATTCTGGGGGCGCCTGGGTGGCTCAGTCAGTTAAGCATCCGACTTCAGCTCAGGTCATGATCTCACAGTCCATGAGTTCGAGCCCCATGTCAGGCTCTGTGCTGACAGCTCAGAGCCTGGAGCCTGCTTCGAATTCTGTGTCTCCCTCTCTCTGCCCCTCCCCTGCTCATGCTGTCTCTGTCTCAAAAATAAATTTAAAAACATTTAAAAAATTTTTTTAAAAAGAAATAAAAAGCATCCAAATTGGCAAGGAGGAAGTCAAACTTTCATTCTTCACAGACCAACATCACTCATCATCTGGGAATGTGAAGCAGGCCACTCATCATCAGGGAAATAAAAGTCAAAACCACAAGGAGATACCACCGCACACCAGTCAGAATGGCTAAAATTAACACCTCAGGCAACAACAGATATTGGCAAGAATGTGGAAAAAGAGGAACCCTTTTGCTCTGCTGGTGGGAATGCAAACTGGTGCAGCCACTCTGGAAAAGAGTATGAAGGTTCCTCAAAAAATTAAAACTAAAACTACCCTACGACCCAGCAATTGCACTATTAGGTATTTATCCAAAGGATACAGGAGTACTGTTTTGAAAGGGCACATGCACCTCAATGTCTGTAGCAGTACCATTGACAATAGCCAATGTATGGAAAGAGCCCAAATGTCCTCAACAGATAAATGGATAAAGAAGATGTGGTATATATAAACAACAGATTATTACTCGGCAATCAAAAAGAATGAAATCTTGTCATTTGCAACAGCATGGATGAAACTAAAGTGTATTGTGCTAAGTGAAATAAGTCATCAGAGAAAGACAAATATCATATGACTTCATTCATATGTGGACTCAAAGATACAAAACAGATGAACATAAGCAAAAGGAAGCAAAAGTA